TGCCTTCCCTCAGAAGAGTCAGATGTAACTCTGAGTTACACTTAGGTTCTTACAGACCTGCTATGTTTACTTTTGTGTTGGCAGTACTGGGGATGAACCTAGGGTCTTTGCACTGAGCTAAGTCCCCAGTCCTTTTCATTTTTTATTTTGAGACAGGGTCTTACTAAACCGTCCAGGCTTGGCTAGAATTTATGATCTTCCCACCTCAGCGTTCCAGGGTGCTGGGATTACAGGTGTGCACCACTGTGCCTGGTTAAACCTGTCAAGTTGTTTTCTTTTTTTTTTCCCCGTCACTTTTTGGAGATAGGGTCTCACTATGTAGTCCAGGAAGCCTTAAAGTCACGGAGATCCTCCTGCTTCAGCCTCTCATAGGCTGGGATTACAGGCGTGTGTCACATGCCTGGCTGAGACCTGCCATGTTTCAAATGAAAGGTCTGCGTAATTTTCACATGTGAACCTCCAGGGGCCTTGTCAGGTAGGCAGGGAAGTCCCCATGTCACGTGTGCACTGTCCCCATTTGACAGACAGGAAACTCTGGCCCAGGGTGGAACCTTCGGTCTGTGACGGAGCCTGAATTTAGCCCCCAGCCTTGGCCTGTACTCATCATGGGGCCAGGAGGAGGGCAGACAGCAAGGTGTCCTCGTGGGGGACCCACCCAGCCCAGCACCTCGGACCCTGCCCTCCTGGACCCCTCCTCTCCCTCCCTCCCGAGGAGCACAAGGGGCTGGGAGTATCTCAGTGCCTCCCCACCACGCCAAGTTCAACGGCAAGCCAGTCTCAGCTCCACGCCAGTCCCCTGCTGTGCACTTGTCACTCAGCTGGTTCGTGACACCTTCGTCCCCCTGGGAATGCCGTAGGTGGGGAACCCAGCGCCAGGCTCAGGGCTGGGCACGCGGGGCGGCCATGGGTGGCTGGGCCCAAAGGGGTAACTTCTCTCGGAGCCTCAGTGTCCGCCTTGGTGAAGTGGGCTGAGGGCAGCTGCATCTCCGCACCCTGCTTGAGAGCCAGTGTAGGGAGGCCCTGGGGAGGTGGAGGAGCCAGGCGCCACTGCACACACCCCCGTCCCCTAGGGGCCATTGTCCAACTGGCCTGGCTTCCCGCCAATCCCTGAAACAATGAGTTTTGCAAAAAAGAAAGAGTTTCATCGGGAAGTGGCCACTGTGGAGCGGAAGAACAAATCCCAAGGCCGCCCCCAGGAGTAGGTGCGGAGTGTTCTGGCGCGAACTGAAGGTGATTGGGAGGCCGCCATGGGCCATCTGCGCAGGCGTGATCAAAGCGTCAGCTGTTACCCATGGTGACGGAGCGGTGGAGGTGGAGGGGCTGCTGTGCATCTATGCTTCTGAAGCTGGTGGTTTTTTAAAAGCCAAATAAAACCAAGCAACTAAGTGCAGGTGGTGGGGTCACAGGCAGAGGGTTGAGTCAGGTTTGCCGGGTTTATCTCTGAGTCCCGCGGCCCCCGCTCCATCCCTCAGCCCCAGACGCAGTGCTCAGTGACCCAGCTGTGAGTTCTCTTCCAGCTCAGGGGGCTCTGCAGGAAGCCTCCCCACCGCCACTGGTGAGGAGCCCCCAGCCAAGGCAGCCTCTGGGCTTCCCGGGCTCAGCATTGTAACCCCAGCCCTGAGCCCCAGAAAGAGTGTGCAAAACTGCACGGTTGTGCAGATGCCCGCAGTGCTCCCCGGGGTCTGCAGGGCTCAGCACCCGGAAGTGTCAGGCTGCAGCCTTCCTGCTCCCACATCACTAAGCTGGCCTCTGGCAGCGAGTACCCCAACACCACTGTGGCTCCAGCCCGGTACACATCCAGGGAGCCCAACATCTGTCCCAAGGGTGTCCATGTCGCCCCCCATTGTGACCTCTCTCTGGTGTCTGGGTGGGGTACATCTGCCTGAGCCACACACTTGCCCTCAGCTCTTGGGAGCCACCAAAGAGGTCACATGTGCTGCTGAGTGCCAGGCGGAGACCAGGGAACCTTCCCATGTGTTGTTATGGTCCTCCCAGCTCCCTGAGGTGTATCAGTCAGGAAAGCTGCTGGGTAACAAACAGCCCTCACATGTTCATGGCCTACCCCGGTTGGTGTCTCACATATGACTTGAGGTTGGTGGAGAGTTCAGTTTGCTCTCACTCTGTGAGATGCTAAAGATGACCAAGCAAAGGAAGACACACACATTCTTTGTGCCTGTAGGTCACTGGCCAGCTTGAATCCAGTGGCCCCCATCTAACTCCCCAGATGTTCAAGCAGGGCACCCAGGCCAGCACTAATCAGCCTCACCACACACGTGTGGGCACCAAAGTTGAAAGCTGGTGGAGGTCACAGGAGGGGCAGCGCGCGGGGCTGACAAGGTCGTGGCCGCGCCCAAGCTCTGTCCGCCGCCTGTCCGGACCGGAAGGGCTCTGCAAGGACCAAGGACTGGGTGGTGCCAGCCCTCAGGGTGTTGAGTGAATGGTCTGAGACAACTGTCACAGTGCTGTCTTGGCCGGACCTTTCTCAGGAAGGGCAGTCTGTCCGTCCACGGCACGCTGCTGCTCCAGAAGCCCAGCCAGAGTCACAGCCAGCTGGGGCGCCTTTGAAAGCCGCTGTGTGAACACTCAGATGCGGCGTCTTTGTCTGCCACCTCCCCGGCCCCCTTCGGGAACCAGACAGAGCTCCTTGAAATGGTTATGTTCCTGGGCAGGCTCTCCTCGAAGGGTCCCTTCCAGCCAGAGTCACAGCCAGCTGGGGCGCCTTTGAAAGCCGCTGTGTGAACACTCAGATGCGGCATCTTTGTCTGCCACCTCCCCGGCCCCCTTCAGGAACCAGACAGAGCTCCTTGAAATGGTTATGTTCCTGGGCAGGCTCTCCTCGAAGGGTCCCTGGGAGGCTCGGGCTCGGGACACCTCTGCAAGTGGCAGGAAGAGCGTAACTAAGGAGCCACGCCTGCCCCTCACCCCTAGTGTGGGCTTTTGGGGAGCCACGGAGGCCTCCTGACCTGGGACAGCACCGAGGTGACCTGGTGACGGCCGCCTCCCGCCCTCTGCCCCAGGAGCACAGCCGCAGTCAGGCTCCCCGCGGGAGACCGGGCTCCACAGGCCGGGTCGGATCAGAGCAGCCCCTGGGGCCGAGACCCGGGGAGAGAGGCAGGCTCAGGCTGCAGGGAGCAGGAGTGGTCTGCAGACTAGGGACTGATGTTTCCGCGTTGGGGGATTTTGATGGCTGTCGTGGGGTTAGGCAGAGAATGTGCAGTCCACGGGCAGCTTCTGTGTATGTGCGACATCATTTCCAAATTTAAAAAGAAAATAAAACAAAACTTAGACTACAGGTAATAAGTTGTTGCGCCAGCGCTGGGGAAAGCCGGCGTCTCTTTGCTGGTGCGAGCGCGCCCTCTTGTGGCGTTTTGGGCACAGTGCAGCACCTGACCCCAGATAGGGTCAGGACTTTCACTCCAGCCCCAGCCTCAGCCCAGGGCTCCACAAATTCTGGACCCCTGGGGTTTCTTCCCACCCCTTCCACTTCGGAGCAGTGAGTGACAGTTACAGGGAGAGCACGGGGCCCTCCGTGACTGGCACGCAGGGGCTCGCTCCTTTTCCAAGCCCAGGGGCCTGGGCCGTGTAGGGTTACAAAATGAATTGTTGAGCCAGGTGTGGCGGTGCACACCTGTAATTCCAGCACTCAGGAGGCTGAGGCAGGAGGGTTGCATGCTCAAGCCCAATCTGGCCAACTAACGTGGTGACTTAGCAAGACCATGACTGGAAATTATTTTTTAAAAAGGGCTGGGGATGCAGCACAGTGCAAAGGTCCTGGGGTTTAATCCCCAGTACTGTCCAAAAAAAAAAAAAAAAAAAAAAATAAACCCTGTTAAAAATACATTAATATCGTAGTTTTCTCCCTCTCCCCAGGGAGAGCCCAAGCCTATGAGCTCCCGTGGGGAGGAGAGGGGACAAGGGTCCTTGTGTTTGGGGTCTGTCACTGGGTTTGCTTTACTGGGGGGTTATGGGGAATGGAGGGATGTAGCGGGTTGGGGGGACCAGAGCTCCTGGAGAGCCCTAGCGCTCACCGACATCTGCGGGAGACGGGATGGGGTAGGTGCTGCGCCCTAGGCAGCCGGTGCCTTCAGTGTCCCCACGGTGGCACGGCTGGGAGGTGGCACCTGGCGGAGCCCCTGAGG